GTGGTGGTGGTGGTGGTTGGGGTGGGTGTTGTGGTCTCGGTGCCCGTCATGGTGCTGATGGTGGGGGTTGAAGTCAGGGTCACCGTGGTGGTCGTGGTGGTGGTTGGGGTGGGTGTTGTGGTCTCGGTGCCTGTGGTGGTGCTGATGGTGGGGGTCGAAGTCGGGGTGCCCATGGTGGTGGTGATAATGGGAGTGGTGGTTGGTGTGCCCTTGGTCATGGTAGGGGTCGGCGTCGGGGTGCCTGTGGTGGTGGTGGTAGGGGTGGTGGTGGTCGGGGTTCCCGTGGTGGTGGTTGTGGTGGGGGTCGGGGTCAGGGTGCCCGTGGTTGTAGTCATAGTCATTGTGGAGATCAAGATCGGGGTGCTGTCAGGAGGCGGCTTGGGAATACAGTTGTCTATCAATCCACAGCATTGGACATTGATCTCATAGTTGAGGCAGATGGGCAGTGTGATGCCCCCCGGCTCCTGGTCTTCATTTCTGCACACCAGCCCAAGAGAGGTGTTGCACACCAACTTTTGCCCAAGTTCTTCGATGGGAGTGTCGGGAAACATCACAGCTCTGCAGGAGATATTGGCTGCCCAGCCTTCATTACAGAGGCCCTGAATCGATTCAATATCTCCCCCTGGTCTAGAAGGGTTCGGTTTACCGGAATCCACCCAGCCTGTCCATATGCAGTTAGGCACACACAGAGTGCTTGGTGGCTCTGAGGAGCTGCTTACTTCTTGGGTAAGCGTGCTGGTGCTGGTGGTCAGCGGCTCTGTGCTTGTGGTGCTGGTGGTCGGCATGGTGGTGGGCGTGGTGGTGGGCGTGGTGGGCGGCGTGGTGGTGGGCGTGGGGGTGGGCGTGGTGGTCAGCGTGGTTGTGGTGGTAGTGGTGGTGGTAGTCGGGGGTTCTGGCGTAGGTGTGGAGGTAGTGGTGGTGGTGGTGGTGGTGGGAGTAGTCGTGGGGGCCATGGTCGTGGATGAGGGACACTCATCCATCGGCACACAGCAATTGACGCGAATCTCGTAGTCGTAACAGACCTCAAATGGCCCGTTTCCAAACTGGTCTTCATTGTAGCAAACGAACCCGAAGGTGACATTGCACTGCGCCTTCTGGCCCGCCTGCTCCCAGCTGAGGTGGGGCTCCACAGCCAGCCGGCACTCGATGTCCTCAGGGGCCCTACAGACGCCGTCAAAGGTCTCCCGGTCGCCACTGCTGCTCTGCGTGCTGGGGTGGTTCTCATTGATCCAGTCGGACCAGAAACAGCATGTCCCTAAGGAAGGAAGACCCAAGATTGGTCCCCACCCTGGACGCCGCTTCCGGGGAGCTCCCTGGGACTCAGAGAGGCCAGAGTCTCCATGACCGCCCTTCCTATCATGGCCAAAGAGCCAGCTTAGAGAGTATAGAGCCGGACACGGTCCTGTGCTGAACGCTGAGCCCCAGAGACAGAAGAGCCACTCGTGCCACACCTGGGTGACAGGCCCCGGCCTCAGTGCCCAAAAAAAGTAAATCCAGGAAGAGTCACCCATTGTGGTGAGGAGGCCCATGGGAAGGGGCCTGGTCTGGACTCCTGCCCGACAGTGCTCTCACCCAGTGCCAGTCTGCTCCCAGCGCTGAGCCCGGGGACGGCTGAGGGCACCGTCTCTGCACAAGGGAGTGGCACCAGCCACCCAGCCCCACAGCTGGTCTCCCGGAAGGTTCCCTTTTCCTCCTGGCCCACCCAGCATGGGGGCTGCCTAGGACCTACCTGGAGTTTCTGGGGTGGAGGTCAGACCTACAGAAGAACGGGGAGGGAAAGAAGCCTGTCAGCATCTAGTTGGACATGTTTAAAAATCTTTTTCATTTTTACAACTTCCTCTTTCCTCCTCTTTCCTCTTTCCATGCCCCAGTGGCTTGTCCGGCGGTGGCTGCTGCCTCAGCAAGACTGCGTGCATGGGAGTCTGGGACATTTGTCTGCTTTCTCAGAGACAGCCTCGGGGGTATTCCCCTGCTGGTCCAGGAAGTGTCCCCAGGAAGTGTCCCCAGGTCCTTCACTGCAGTCTGGGCTCGGGGGTGTGGCTGTGATGCCGGATGGCATCTTAAGGTGAAAGGCCAGGGGCCCAGGAACACCCCCTGAGCTGAGACGCCCATCAATGTCACCTCCAGCCCATAAGCAGAGGTGAGAGCCCACTGCGACCCATCCCCCTGCCCCCCTCTTGGCCCCTAGAAGGGCCGCTTCCGCTGGGCTCAGAGCAAGGCAGGTGCTCTAGGGGTGAGGGATGCGTGGCCCTGGGGCCTTACCTGTACTGGGGGTCAGGGAGGGGGTGGGAGTCGGGGTGGTGGTGGTGGGGAGGGGGCTGCTGGAGGTGACTGGGATCGTGGTGGAAGGCGGCCGGGAGGTGGTGGATACACAGATGTTGAAGTGTCTCTCCACCGTCCCGTTGGGGCCACAGGTCTCCCAGTAGCAGAAGAAGCCATCCTGGGTGTAGTTGAGCGTATTCCCTGGAGAGCAGGACAGAGACCAAGGTCAATGTGGCAGGAAAAGGACAGAGACTGTCAAGAACACTCCAGGCATCCCTTAGCCCCCACAAATGCCAGACCAATGCCCCCTCGGGACTCCACCGACAGGGCCCCCCATCAGGGCACAGAAGCCGGACGGCACAGAGGTGGCCTCAGCAGCCGTCACAAGCGTGGGGAGGCTGCTGCGAGTCAGAGCCAGCCGGGAAAGGCCCCTGGGGAGCCCCGGGCCCAGGGAGGGAGAGACGGAGCCCTGCCCCCAGAGTCCAGAGCAGGCAGCCTGGGGGCTCTCCTGGGGGCTGCTGCACTGGGGTAGACACGGGGGGCAGCTCACCTTCTTCTGGCTGGCAGACGACTTTCGAGGCGTTGGTACACACGCTGGAAAGCAAGAATCGAGCTGCAGAGCACGAGGACGTGCCCTTCCTGGCCTCCCGGCCTCCACCTCCCACCCTCAGTGCCCCAGGCCCAGCCCCAGGTCCTCTGCCTGCAGATGGGAGCTCGCCCGGCTCCCACGGTGTGCCCGTGGGGCTCTGTGTCGGCCCATGCATGTGCGCGTGCGTGTGGCTGTGCGTGCATGTGTGTGTGCACGCGCGTCTGGCGCACCCCCAGACCCCAGCGGGCTGAGCTCGGGTACCAAGACCAGCAGTCCTCCTCGCTGGGAACAGGTGCTCCAGGTGGGTAGCGTGTGTCCCCGACATAGCAGCCACATTGGTCCGCCGTGACGCACTGCTTCAGGTCCTCGTCGTAGATGGGCCTGTCCTCCGGGCACCGGGGGTAGCAGCCTGGCAGGCACAGGACACGGGGCATGGGGCTTGGACCATGGCAGAGGACCCCACAGCCACCAGACCCCACCCATTGTCCCCACCATGGCAGGTCCTTCTCTCCAGGATGCTCCTCCGGGAAGGCCAGGGAACAAAAGGACAGGGGACCGGACCCCCCACACGGGGCCCCACACACTGCCAGATGGCCAAAGGGACAGCCAGCACCCCCTCCCAGCCTCCTGACCCCGCATTCCTCCCATGGGATAGGATGCTCCCTCCCCAGAGCAGGCTCACTCCCTCATGCCCCTGGTTCTCAGCTCCAAGGCCCTGCAGAGTCTGCCAGACCTGGAGTCCGAGACCCCCTGTCTTGGGCTGATCTGCAGCTTCCTGGGGGCCCGTCCACTCCCAGATTCTTTCTGCCTCTCTAAGCTCATGGGACACGCTCTGCAGCACGGTGGGCCTGGTCCACCTGGACCTCGGGTCCCCAGCCGCATGGGGACAGCGTCCCTCTGCGCCGAGGCCCGCTTACCCTCCAGGTAGGACACGGAGATGTTGGAGTGGATGCCGTTGACGGTCCTGCAGGTCTCGAAGCTGCGGTTCCCACAGGGCTCATAGTGCCACTCACACATGTCTGGGGGGTTGTAGTAGTCACAGAATATGGCTGCAGGGGCGGGGGTGGGGGTCAGACTCAGGGAGGGCCGAGGCCAGGCCAGCGCAGCCCCTGAGGAGCGACACTCAGCCCCTGGGGCCAGGGAGGCGGCAAGGAGACCCCAATAACCCATCACTTCATGAGTGAGGACTGCTGTCCCCACACAGCATAGCGCCCCCCCGCTCCAGGACAGGCGGACACTCACGGCACAGGTCCGGCGTCCTCCAGAACACGCAGGCCCCCTCCTTAGTACACTCCTGAGCGTAGGAGGCCACGGCTGAGCAGAAGCACTCACAGTCCCCACCCATGTCGCAGGAGCAGGAGTCGTGGACGCAGGCCTCGTAGAAGGGCTTGAAGTCCACCTGCGGGAGAAGGCTCTATGTGCCCTGGGCCTGCCCCCAGGTCCGGCCCTGCCCTCAGTCTGCCCGGCGCCGCCCCCAGGCCCGGCCCCCCACCTTGCTGTGACAGACACTGAAGACAGGGCTCTTGATGATGCTGCATTGCTTCTTGGCCCAGGAGAGGCGGCGAGGGTTCTGGGTGCAAGGATCCGGGGTGACGCTCACGTCCGGACAGGTGGGGGCCTCCTTCCAGCTGTTCCCAAAGTCCATCTCGCTGTCCACCACCATGTGGTCCCTCGTGGTGAAGTCGTTGCTGGAGCGCTGGTCAAAGTTCCCGCACAGCCCGCAGACCCGGCCCTGCAGAGACAGAGCAGTGGGACTGGGGGGCTGGGGGCGCTCTGGGAGCAGGCTGGGGGGACGGGGGGACTGAGTGGGAGAGGGTGGGGGACTGGGGGGGATCTGGGGGCGGGGGGGCAGGTGAGGGCTGCCACGCACCTTGTAGGACGGGGCCAGCTTGATGAAGATGGTGGTCTTCTTGTCCCAGACGACGATGACGCCGATGCTGGCCTCCACCACCAGGTACTGGCCCACCTCCCTCGTGGTGTAGGCCACGTGGTGGCCCGTGTCCCGCTGAATCACCAGGCAGTGCTTGTCCTCCAGTTTCAGCTCCGTCCTCTGCGCCCAGGGGAGAGGCCCTGTCACTGGCCACGTCCAAGGAGCCGCGAGGGCTCACGCATTCCCCAGGGTCTGGTGGCACTCACCCCCAAGAAGATTTTGATGGCCTTGGAGCAGGTGGCACCCGTGGTGCCACAGGGGACATTCTCAGTCATGATGCTGAAGGAGCCCGAGGAAGAGTTCTGGCCGCAGTAGTCCTGGGGGCCCACAGAGGACGTGAGTCAGACCAGCCAGGCCACCGGTGCCCCCCGGCCCCACCCCAGCTGGGCTCCACACAGACGCAGCCCTCCTCGGTAAGAGGGGTAACCACGAGGCGAGGGCGCTTAACCCCACGCACAAGCCACTCGCTCCCCGTGCAGCGCGAGAGGGTCAAAGAATGGGAGGTCGGAGGCAGGGCTGGGCCCCAACTGCGCCCCCTCCAACGGGGTCCCCTCGCCGGGCTGACGGCGGCTCAGAGTGCGGTGCGGGGCCGCGGGACGAGGGCCGGGAAGGACTGGGCCTCACCTGAGCCGCCACGTAGGAGCAGTGCCCGTTGAAGTCGTAGTACTTCCCGTCGAAGGTGACGTAGTGGCCACTCCCGTAGATGGAGCAGGAGCCGTGGCACAGGGACTCGGTGCACGCCCAGCGCCCTCGCTGGCAGGTGCTGAGGAGAGCGGGAAGGGGGCCTGGAGAGGCCGCAGGGGCCCAGGTCCTCCCCGCTGCTCAGAGGGCGGCCTGGCTGCGAGGGCGCCACGGGAACGACCCCACCAGCAGCGCACGAGCCCGGCCTCCACGCCCTTGTCTGTGTGCACCATGCCCCCCCGCGCCCCCACCGCACACTCCCGCCAGGCCAGACCACGTACCAGGTATTGCAGTCCACCTTGATCTTGTCCCCGGGGGAGTACAGGTCCTTGTTGTGCACACACGGGCACTCGTCCTCCTTGACGCAGCCGCCACGGCCATCATCCAACAGCCCGTCTGGGCAGACACAGCCGCTGACACACTCCGTCCGATACTGCAGGGACGGGACAGTAGGCTTCAGGCCCAGGTGGCCAAGCCGGCCTCTCCTGGAGCCGCCCCCTCTTCTCGCACTGCAGACACCCCTTTGTCCCTTGCCCACCCGACCTCGGTCCTCTCTCTCTCGGGCTCACCACTGGCCCGGGAGATAGGCACGGGCTGCCAGCCAGGGGTCCCCACACGGCCCCGAGCCCTCCACGGGCTGGGCGCGGACCCCTGGGACGGGGAGGGCCGAGGAGGCCCATGCGTGTGCGGGACCCGGCAGCCAGACTCCGGGGCCAGTGAGGAAACCTGCGTCCGCCCTCCCCCATGGCGGGCCCCCGCACACACGTGGCCGGCAGCCCGCGTCTGGCAGCTGGTGGGCCGCGAGCCCTGGACGGTCAGAGCTGTCAGGTTGCTGCAGTCCACGTAGATCTTCGGGGCCGAGCAGCCTGGGGACAGAGGGGCCAGCTCAGCTCAATGGAAGTTGGGGTGGGGCGGGGCCTGCGAGGACAGGGTGGGGCGGGGCCTGCGAGGACAGGGTGGGGCGGGGCCTGCGAGGACAGGGTGGGCCCTGCGAGGACAGGGTGGGGCGGGGCCTACTTACTCTGGCTCAGCAG